AATTATGTTTTATTAAAATATTTTTTTTTTTAAAAAAAAGGGTATTAAACGGAACGCTGACGGGCGGCCGCCGCCATTACCAAAAACATCTTTGATGAGAACTGACGTGATTTTGTTTTGTTTGGATTTATCGTGGAAAGTTAATACATAACTTTCCACAATATATAATTTACAACAGTCATTGGAGTCTCATTTCTACAGCTACTATGAAGATCTTCATCAGTAAAGCTCTATCAAAATCGGCAACAATGCAATTTTTTTTAATTGCTTTTCAAATAGCAATTGTGCATTTTCGTCAAATGTCGATAACGATTGAAACGCTGCCCCGTTATAGGAGATCTTTGTATAACGCACGATGAAACCAGTATTATCCTTAAACGAAAATCTCGTTTTTTAAACATTTTAACTTATTTTCAGAAACTTTAAGACCATTTCGATTTATTAGGTTTTCGTGGTTGTTATACATTGGAGTTTAATTTCCACATACATATATACACATATACAACCGAAAAATAACTACAGTTTCATTTTCATGCCCATTTTTAAAAAGTTGACTTTTTCGTTTAGTGATGGAATTGGTTTTCACGTATTGTGGATGAGGTATATTTAGAACAACCTTCGGGTGCTAGCCTAATTTACCTGAAAAATAAAGGAATATATAAATGTGTAAGAATAATCTATATAGACAATGTTTAGGCCCAGTAGAAATAATATGCTAGTGGACTGTATTAACGTATGATATTCGGGAAAAGGGAAATTACAAATTTTGGCGACGCCGACGTGTACGACGGCAGCGACCGTTTCGTGAAGAGAGTTTAATGTGTTGTTCTTTAATTTTTCTGGCTACGATTCGCTCAGAGCGCGGGCACTATTGCCGTCACACATATCGCTAAAATTTGTGATTTCCTTTTTTAATAAGTTAATACAGTTCACTAGGATATTATTTCCACTGGGCCTAAACACGCGAATACATATAAGTAAGGTGATAACTATTTTGAAAATTACTTTGTTAACTAAAACAATGTGTTTTTTATGATATCAAGTGAGAGAAGGAACAAGTCGTGCACCTGGTAGTAAGCGACACACCTGCCTACAACAGTTCCAACGCCAGCCAATATTTTAAATTGTAACGATTTGAAGAGCACTGCAATTGCGCCCTTCACCCTGAGATATAAAGTTGACAGTCCCTCACGCTTGTACTTTCAACAGCACCCTTACGCTTCAAAACCGGAACGCAGTAATTCTCACTTTATTGTATAGTAATTGAATCACTTTGGTCCGGTTAGTTATATTTAAGAATTGATACTACCTCAGATCGAATTCAATTTTTTCTCGAACTAATACGGTTTATTTTGCTTGGGCCGAGCGGTAGAGGCACTGGCTTTATTTCAGAATGTATTTTTTTACAAACGATATTAAATCCATTTGAAAAATGTACATCGTATTATATACGTGATTCATTTAGTTGGTATATGTAATATACCTATTGAATAAAGCGGTTTTCTTGTAAAATTTTGAGGTAAGTTTGTGTATTTTTCTATCGCAAAATTTTTTTAAAATCGTGTTTTCGTAGTAGTAATCAGTGTATATCAATTTTACTATATATTTTATCCAAAGTATTGATTCAACATTTTGGCTGTTATGCGGAATTAACAGCCACTAGGAGGTTACACAGGCTCTTAAGACGGTTAGAAATCCTTTCAAAAGCTAAACCCTTAGGCAGGTAAGTGTGTTTAATAAGGAATGACGAAATGTATTAAGTAACATAAGACAAGAATTTGCAGGATGAGCTTGAAATTCTAAACCGATATGTAACAAAAACAACCATCGACATTCTTAGAAGTCAACCTAATAACTGTAAATTAAGCTTCATAATTAAATAATGATGATAAGAAGAAATTAAATATGTTGACGGACTTGAAAAGCCTATAGTGGTATTTGCTTTGTGTGTGGTTTTAAATTATACAATCATAGTATAGATGATAGAGTGGCTGATACGGTTGTAATACCTAAACAACGTGAATAGTGAATTGATTCTGTCTAAACAGATGTAGCACAGTTACAATAGCATTAAAATGACCTCGATCAAACGTATCAAAATATTTAAATACAACAGAATGCTTAAAATGTACTAAAATATTATACTTCTTTTAACAGTTCCTTCACGGCAAATATCATCATTAATGTATTGATAATAAAGTAATAATAGTTCTAAATGGATTAAGTGATTTTCGATAAAAATCAACCATAAAATTATACCCTTAAGATGCAAATAGGATTGAAACTGAGAATTACTTGATGTAATGTTGATTTTTGATAAATGTACAGATCTGACTGGACGTTTACACAAATTTTATCGCTTTTGATGCGTTATAATGTTTTTGTTAGTTTGATCGTTCGTGTCTGTTTGAAACCGAGTTTACATAGCATCAATTTCTTCATAAAATAGTTACTTAGTTGTTGAAAATATCTACTCCATAGGCTAAGTACACGTCTTCAAAGGCGTACTTTTTATAATGTTCAAAGAGAGATTTAAAACTCGTAACATAAACTTGATGCGTTTGACCCGTGACACCATAAAAAAATCGTTACTAATAAATCGATTTATAATAAAGTGAACACGATTAACAGAGAAATTCACGCTAATGTAATAAATTAATTGTGTACATATTTGGTATACTAACATTATTTAAGCCATCGAGTATATAACCAGAAATAGAGATGAAATGTCATTTAATTTGTTTGAAAACTAATCTGCCAAATCATTACGGTGACAATTGCGCTCCGATTGGCCAGTCCGAACTCAAAACAATTGACGAGTGTCGTCAATTGTTTCACTTCAAATGGCCAATTTAACTTGAGCTTTGTTATAATGGACGATAATAAAAAATTATATATTTAATATTTAATTACCGTTGAAATGTGATTCCGTTTGTTTTGTAATTAGATGTTTTGCTGTTTTTCCCGCACTACCGAATAGAAACAGCCCCACATTGCTAAAGATACTGTCTTTATTACAATAAATACAGAATATTTTAGGAATATACGGAGACGTACGTCAGTTTTTGGCGCTGTACTATTTCAGCTTTCTAATTTGCGATTTCAGCGTAAGAGAGTTGATATTTAAAAATGATATAAGACCCATTTGCCTGATGAGTTCCCAGGGATGGACGGCCTTTATTTCGTCTCTATTTCTAGTTATATACTTGATGATTTAAACACTGTTAATTTTAAGTCAGTTCTGCAATATCTCTGAGCCTCGAAAGGTGGAAACCGGAAGTGAGGTGAAGGAAAGATAAATTGGCGTTTGAAATTTGCTGCCATCATATATAAATTGAATTATGAGGAGGGAACACAAGCTGAATATAATTAAAAATGTTTTTGTTATCTCAGTCAATAAATCAAAAATCATCGATGGAGTTTTAGATACAAAAGGGATAATGCAAGTAGAACCGGGTCACGTGGCCGGCGTGCGCCTTCGTGCCACGCGCTGCGCAAGCGCTGCGCAGGGCCCGTGCACAATGGAGTATTTATGTTAGTCCTTCGGGCTGGATTAACGGTCGATTATGCACGCTCCAGATTCAGGAAATACTAGCCGAACGAGCAATACACGACTGGCTACGGCTTTGAAAATTCACATAGAAATTTTGTGAATGTTGACTATGGTTTAATTTTCTAATCACTAGGTGTGCCTTGTGTATGTTAGACTGGTAGAAATATACACATCAAAAGTGTCTAGGCATCACGATATTTTTTTTGTATATTTGATTATTAAAGTGAAATAAAAATATCTGATAAAAACTTATTACATTATTTATTTAGTAATTTATTTTTTTCATTATGAAATTGACCAAAAAAACTATTGGAGTTTAACAAAATTAATTCAAAATCCTGATTTTCATCAATTAGCAAAAATGTTTTTGATCTCTAGATACTTTTGACGTGTGTATTTTGATGATTTCGATAACTGTAGGACAAGGATATCTCAATCTACTAAAGTATTTAACGACATCTGTGGTCCAACGGAGCGCTGGATGTGGACGTCCCGGGTTCGATTCCCGGTAGGACCAATGTTGGAAAATGAACTTTTCTAAATGTGCCGCAGAATTCCATTGCTCTGGTACTCATAGTACAGAGAAATTCCTAGTTTGAGAAATTCCTAGATATGAGTTTCTGGTCTGGCATTGTTATTATGTAAACAGCTAAAACGTTGTTTTATATCCTATGAAAAGTTTATCATCTTAAGTAAGGTAATGTATAGCTTAAGAGGAACGATGCATTATAATTATGTCCATAATATTTAGGAAAACATATTTGATATCCCTGTTTTGAAAAAAAATACCTCACAGATTGATCACATTTAAAATAACTCTTTACTTTTATAGAAGATTGTTTCAGGATAAATGGAGTGCAGTTAAATATGAACTCGTTCGTGAATTCACTATTCAACTAATAGCCAAATTGACCTAGAGACATGTAAAACCCGCTGCGAACATCCACTGTGCATTTATCACGCTCGTATTGAAACTGAACTCAGCGGGCTGTGTTTTATCATACCTTTGTATAATATATAGCAAACAAGAGAAGTAAATATTTCGATATTGTTAAAGACTTATTAAAACTGACAACGTCAAATCTGTTCACAGAAGAAACATTAACAATAGATATACAAACTGTAACTTTTTCAATGCAATAAGAGATATTTATAAAAGTTTGAGAATAATCGACTTAACTTTGTTGATGGTTTAATTTAAGAAGTTCTGAATGGGCCTGTAGACGGTCCTATTATCCACAAAAAGGGAATCTCGTTGTAATACTCCTTTACGACAGTATTTAGTATAGAAGGGGCCGACGACGTTACGTTACTTTCAATACATCTGTAGTTGGTTTCTGCGCATTTTCGGTTATTGACAAAGTTTTAGAATGCGAAACGTCTATCATAATAAGTAATTGAAGGTGATTAATTATTTAGTTATTGATTCCTACGGAGTTCGCCTTACCTGTTCTTTTGCCAAGAGGTACCAAGAGTTCAGTATATGCGGCAATCTTGTTTGATGAAAATGTTTTGATGTTTTAACACTTATAAAAATATCATCTAACGTTATATTTTTATTTTGTCCACTTCCTTGGAGTTTAGTATCCGTCACTGGTTCACTGGTAGTTAAAGTAAAAGCGGCTTGCACTGACCCCGGTCGAGATTCTATGAAGTTGAAATTTACACTTCCTTGGTACACCAGGAGGCTGCAATAACCGAGCGTTATCAGCACGACCGCGGCTTTAAACATCCTGAGTGTTCCCATGCCAGCGCTGACTGGCGCCAAAGCGCTGACGAGCTTCCGAATCTCTTAACACCTTGCCACTCATCTGTTGGATTTTTGTTATCGGAGAAAACAGTGATAAACCGCGCGTTAGGATTTTATACGACGCGAAGTCGTCCTGCGCTGGCGAACGGTTACAAACTAAATAAAAATGTAGCACAAGCAAAGCTGCAACACGCCCGCGCCTCTGCTGCTTCGCCCCACCACGTGGTGTGAGAGAGAGTTCCGCTAGACGTCTCTGTCTCGCTGGAAGGCCTACCTGCGCGCGCGCCTGTCCGCCGCCTGTTCCGCCGCCGGCTGCGACACCCGTGTCAACTCGAGTCAATGGTTCATGTCGGGTACCTTGCTCGTATCTGTTTACCATACAATACAACAAGTGCTATTCTTCTCAGAGATTTTAAAATCCGTTATATTTTTCCCATAAGAAATGAATTTTACTTTCTAGTCTAACCTATCGGCTTGCAACTTTGACAATGAGTGTATTAGTTGTTTTTAAAAGGAGGTACACGTACATACGTGTTATCGTACCTACTTTCGTGCTAACATTAGCAATGACAATTATAATATTAATTATACAATCAAACGTCCTAACCTTTCGTAATTTGAAAGTTTTAAGAATACTATTAGTTCTGAAGACAAAAAACAGAATAAAATCAATAAAATAGATACAATTCAGGGACTGGCTTTTTGTTATCATGTTTGGGATTTCTTTACCTATGAATAATTAAAAGATTGAACACTGCAAATAGTAATTCAGATTGAAATTTGACGTATATTTCAACTTTGACAAAATATTCGAGCAACAACAATTTGTAAGATCTAAGTTATTATCAGAAATATATATATTATTTAGAGCAATGTTCGTTATTATAATATAAACAAATTCTTTTTCACCGTATAAGTGATTTTGCAAACGTACGTTGAGGTATTCCAGAGTAGCCACAGTACATTATCAAGTCGACTATATAATTCCCGTCGCATTAAACACCAAATTTCACTTGTCATCCTTCTAATTTGTTTCTATTGGTGGACAAAGCGTCATTGTTACGGCAGATGAACGGCCGGCTGCAGCCGACAAGACGGGGCTCAAAATCTAAGAGCCGTGGGTGGTAATGAAATTAAGATCCGGACATTGTTGCACCAAATTCCTCTCGGACGATAATAGCGAAGCTAACCAAGGAGATTATTGATTTTATAAGCCACGGAACTCATTTCAAGATTGTCGCACGTAACGAAAACAAAAAGTTTGTTACGATTTGTTTTGTATCGGCTTCCGTTCTAAGCGTTCATTTTCTATGGCTTGCGGGTGACAATATCACTTTACAACATTAACAATTAACAATATTACTTTAATAACAGAACACGAACCTCGGTAATCATGATGTGTATTAGGAATTGAAACTATTTTTCCGGATTTAAATCGCGTATATTTGTTTTTTCAAACAAACCGACCGATGTTTCGGGCCCTTTACAGGTCCCATGGTCACGGTTGACAAAACAAATATACGCGATTTAAATCCGGAAAAATAGTTTCATTTCCTATGTGTAACAATCGCGAAAACCTAAGAACTCGATATGATGTGTATTGTTAAAAATTGTTCCGCGGGTGAATTGGAACGAACTGTAAAGAAATATTTTAAATCGTTTCCATTAACATATTCTGCCAAAGCCCATAATAATAAGATCATGCTTTGATCATGTGCATCATAAAATTTCCATCGCTAACTCGTTCAGAAGCTAATGAGAAGTATAAAACTGGACCGCGATCGGTTTACTGCGATACTTTTAATTGGATTTTTTATAAACTGACCGTTGAGGCAATTGAACCGCCTAATAAATGTAAATTATAGTTTGTTTTCGCTTTTGTGAGGTGTTGAGAGAAATTTGTTACATTTATACTTTGAATAGATAAAATAGTTATTTCAAAATCAAGTTACATTTCTAGTCCATGGATTGATACCGGATAACAAGTAAAAACGCTTTCACTAAACTACAGCATTCAATACAATTTATCAAATGTTACTGACAAACAACATCAATTACTTGCAATCGATTAGAATGATAATTTCGCTATGTTGGGTGTCATTTCCATAAGCATAAGGTGCAATGTCGAACCCGAGCATAGTAGAGCATTAGTGCGAGAAAGCCAAACCGTATCCCATCGCTAATTGCGGAAGCTTGTAATGAGGATTGCACACGCCAGCCGTGGGAACAATCGGCTTAATAATAAACTTTGAGAGATTTACTAAGGGGAACTAGTTGAAGGTATCAATTTTCACATTAGTAGGGTCAAGGGAACAGGGAACTGTTGACAAGTTTCACAGTAGCTGAAATAATAATACGGCGTTTGAATGTTATTTAGACAGCAGCTCACCTTCTTGGACAACTCCTGTACACTCATTGTACAATAGTTATTGTTGTTGGAGTTGCTGTTGTGTAATATGTTATTTCATTATCATCAACCCATTTATTTATCCACAAATTCAAGGTCGCTCAGCAGCGTGCGTTCGCACAACGCGTGTTCGCGTGGTGCGAACTATGCTTGGGGTTTATCTGATGGATCGAATCCCTGACGAGGTCATACGTCAAAGAACTACAGTGACCGACATATCTCGCAAAATCAGTAAGCATAAGTGGCAATAGGTCGGGCATGTCTGCAGGAGGGTTGATCGCTGGAGCAGACTTGTTCTGGAATGGCGACCACGTCAAGGAAAACGTAGTGTGAGACGCCCTGCGGTAAGATGGACGGACGACGCGAGCAAGGTGGCCGGCACTGGCTGGATGCCGGCGGCACAAGTCCGGGAGAGTTGGCTTGCTCAAGGAGAGGTTTATGTCCGGCAGTGGATGCGTGTAAGCTGATGATGATGAACCCATTTATACGTCCCAATGCTGAGATCGGGTCTTCTCTCAGGTGAGAGAAGACCCGAACTGCCACACTGGCCCAATGCGGGATGCGGACTTCATAAGTTTTCCGAGGGTTTTAAACCTTCTTGGACTGAATGGATTCATCACGTTTTCCTTCACCAAAGAGCTCAGGGCAAATTACAAATTAAATTTCGCACATAAATTCCTAGAAACTCAGAGGTGCGAGCCTGGATTCGAACCCACGGTCTCTGATTTAGAGGCGGTGGGTCAAACCATTAGGCTACATGAAGTTTACGAACTTAAAAATCAATAATTTCTTACAAAGTAATACAGGTTCAAGCCTCGTTATGTTTAAATCAGTAACTTCCCTAAATGTTATTTGAAGATTTCTCTCAAGTGGAGGTCTCATCAAAACATCATATCAAATTGTTAATCCAATTTAACAATTCGTTGATTCGATGCGACGCGACGTGTGTCAAAACTGTACGAGTATCATTGCCAGCTAATTCAAAAACAATGTGCATTGAAGCGTTTTTATGTGGCAACAGAACAGTTAATATATTTTATTCTTTATTTGTTAGAATCCACTTTCAGTGTAGCGTTATAATACAATTGCTTTGACTGATTCGGAGTAAAACGATGTTGTAATATTTTATATACCTTACTACGTTGCGCTACTGCGTTGGGCATGGCCATAGAATAAAAAGACGAGTAGAGTAACTTCCGAATGGTCCGTGCATCAATGCCTACACTTCGCTCGGAGCGTAATGTTGTCATATTACTATTTTAGTTTTACCTACAGCTAGTAAATAAAATTAAAAAAATAAGTAGTTCATCATAGTATTTTCGTGCTGTACTGATATAGCCTTGCTTAAATGCGGTAGTGATATTTACGTATTGATATTTTCATATCAGTATTGCGGATTCATATCTCGATTATTGGAGTATTATTACGAAATTGAAATGAAATGCTGAACAATTCTAGATTTGAGTCACTTTCGTTAAAACTACTTTAAACACAACAATAAACATGTCAAGTATTTGATGTCATTTTTTCAAATCTGTGCAAATGCTTCATTTCTATTTATAACAAATGGCGCTTGTAACGATCCGCGCTAGGCAACGTGTCGTGCACCGCGACATTATGCGGATTTGCGGTCGTATAAGGCGCGTTGAGGGAGTGCGTACATACAACCTGCTACCAGAGCTCCGGCACTCGCTCAAGGTTACGCGATAAGAGCCTTCCGCTGAGTGTACCGACGTCGGCACAAGCGCTCATACAAGTGTTTCATTTATGAGCATTTGCGGCTGCACACGGCGGGCAACGTAATTTTTATCTCTCTGAGCGCATACTTAGGTTCCTTTTTCCTCGTTGTTAGCGCCTGATGTCATAAATCAGATTTAGTAGGCTATTAAAGTGTAGGTATTTTTGATTTTGTATGAGAGTGACGTATCTGTTACGTAGTAACTATTAATTAATCTGTGCCGCTACTACATTTGTATGAAGTTACCCCCTACTTGCCCTATTTTATTATACTATGGCATGGCGTTATTTTTTTATAAAAAGTAATTATAAACTTTAATTTAATGGTATTGCGTCATCAAAATAAAATTTAATTCAAAATTAATTTGACAAAATACAAGACATAGCAAAAAATAAAATATAGTTACAAATCTGCTTACAAATGACATAACGATAAGTATATTTCAATGGGAATGTTCTACCTTTTATGACGTACAAAATTTCAGTAGATCTCTACAGTAGAATAAAAGCATTTATCTAAAACCCATTCAATAATTTTATTTATTTTTAGTTACGAAATGAACAATCGTTTGGGAACACCTTTTTGTCGTAGCGCCACCTTTAAGAAATCTGCGAAAGCTTTTCTTCAACCAAAAACGTTTAAAGCTGCCATATTGACAAGAAACGTCGCTTTATGAAATTGTAACATTGATTTTATAATATAATAATAATAACGCACACACTCAACATAACTCCGCACTAGGGAAACCCTGAGTCGCGGGTGTCATGATCACACACATAAACAACCACAAATTACACCCAAACTCACAAGAAAAATAAATGTAAGCCATACAAAAATTTCTCCCGGTCCGGGAATCGAACCTGGGACCTCTACGTGACAGGTTTATGGCAATTTTATGGAGTATCATGGTGTTTTACCACCATGATGATTCATTTACTTTACTTTACATTTATTGTACTCCACTAGTTGGTTCTAATTATTAATACAAGGATAGAA